ATTGCAAGTAATAAATAATAAGAGCTCCCCGCTGTGAGAAATGCCTTTTCAAAGGTTTAAAAGGATAGTGGGCAGCCAACTGAGAAGGGAGAACAAGATAAGAGAAATGTGATCCCTCGATAACAATTATGGGCAGCCCTCCCATTAAGCCGAATGAAGCAGTGCATTGCTAGTGATTTCTGTTGTGAGAAGGCAGCTCATTGCTAGTCATTTATTTTCTAGGTTTTAGACAAGACTCTGGGTGCCAGGGTTTGAATACCTGCTTGGACGTGGAAATCCACTGGGTGACCTTGGGCAAGTCACACTCTCTTAGCTTCAGAGGAAGGCAAAGGCAAACCCGCTCTGAATACATCTTGCCAAGAAAACCCCATGATAGGGTCACCAAAAGTCAGAGTCCACTTGAAGACATACAATAACAGCAACAATAACGACAAGACAGGGCATCCCAAAGGTGTCTATACATAGGAAAAATAAACAAATTCATAATATATTTAATATTTTATATTGTATATTTTAATTTAGTTTAATAATATATATACAGTAGAGTCTTGCTTATCCAACCTTTGCTTATCAAACGTTCTGTATTATCAAATGCAGACTGCCTCCTGCCCAGATCCACAACTGTTTCAATAGATTGTGATGCTTTGGTGCTAAATTCATAAATACAATAATTAGTACATAGTGTCACAGTGTATTGAGCTGCTGTTTTCTGTAAATGTGTTGGAAAACATGATGTTTTGGTGCTTAAATAGTAAAATCATAATGTAATTTGATTGCACCGGGATTGTGGTGCAGTTGGCTGAGTGTCAGCTGCATTAAAGATCACTCTGACCAAAACGTCATGAGTTCGAAGCCAGCCTGGGTTGGAGTGGGTTTCCAACCAATTGTGTGTAGCCTGTTGTTGACCTTTGCAACCCGAAAAACAGTTGCATCTGTCAAGTAGGAAAATTAGGTACCACATTAAAGTGAGGCCATAAAGAAGACTCCAGCATTCTAGTGGGGAAGCATGCGAGGAATGCGGAAGTACTTCATCAGCGTCGCAGATGGACGATGAAAGCGACAGCTCCCCTGGTGGCCAGAAAAAGTTAAATAGCCTCTGTGTATGTCTGTATATGTTTGTATGTCAAAATTGGCATTGAATGTTTGCCATATATGTGTACACTGTAATCCACCCTGAGTCCCCTGCAGGGTGAGAAGGGCAGAATATAAAAGCTGTAAATAAATAAATAAATAAATAGGCTTTTCCTGACTCCCTCCTTATTATCCAACATTTTCACCTATCCAACGTTCTGCCGACCTGTGTTTATGTTAGATAAGTAAGTCTCTACTGTATGCACACACACACAGAGAGAGAGACACACACTGTCCTAAGTGACTGAGGTCTTAACTCAAAACATCGTGATCTCAAAACAAATTTCCCATTGAAATGCACTGAGAAGTAATTAATCTGTTCTGCCACCCAAACCCTACCAATCTGTTTTGTTACATGTTTTCAATAAGAAAATGTACTTTATAAATAACAAATAATTTATAAATGCACATTCACACGGAACAATTTTTTAAAAAAGATCAACTTTAAAATGGTAGAAGCACAAAGTTGTGGCAAGGAAGCATAAAACATAAAATGAAGAGACAGAACATCACTTTCTTCATACTGTATTCATCCAGTCTCCCTCCTGCTCTTCATGAAACCAAACATACCAGGAATAATAACCACACAAAATCAAATAACTCAAAGTTCCTCAAAGCGAACAAGAGCAAAGCAGACAGCAATCTCCCAAAGCAGACAAGATCATGTGGCACAGAGGGATGAGACACAGAAGCTGCTCCCTTGAAACCCTAAAGTTCTGTACTCTGGTGCTAACTCTCCCTCTAGTGCTAGCTCTTAACTCAAAATGCTTCTCTTATGTTAGAGCAAAACCATGCTGAGCAACAGCTCTTAACTCAAACACTTCTTTTATGTCAAAGTGAAACCCAGTCGAGCATCAGCTCTTAACTCAAAATGCTGCTCTTATGCCAAAGTGAAACACAAAGTGATTTGGTCATTTGGGAATTGTAGTTGCTGGGATGTATAGTTAACCTACCATCAAAGAGCATTCTGAAGTCCACCTACAATGAAATTGAACGAAACTTTGCACACAGAACTTCCATGACCAACAGAAAATATTGAAAGGATTTGGTGGACGTTGTTCTTGAGTTTGGGAGTTGTAGTTCACCTACATCCAAAGAGCACTGTGGACTCAAACAAAGATGGATCTGGAGCAAACTTGATATGAATATTCAATCTGCCCAAATGTGAACACTGGTGGAGTTTGGGGAAAATAGACCTTGACATTTGGGAGTTGTAGTTGCTGGAATTTATAGTTCACCTACAATCAAAGAGCATTCTGAACCCCACTAAGAATTCAATTTGGCCAAACTTCCTACTCAGAAACCCCATGACCAAAAGAAAATCCTGGATTTTCCAATGGTCTCTGACACTCCCCTCGCTACCCACCCAGGGTCCTGGCCCCCACGTTGAGAAACGCTGACCTATTGCAATGCAAAGTGGAGTCCATTTCATGCAGTCTGGAGAAGGGCATATCACAGACCACCTATTACAATGCAGTCTGAGCCCTGCAACATGCAGAATGGAGAACCTTCTTATAGCAATGCCAGAGGCACTCCAAATGGCCAGCTACTGGTCAAAAGGGCATTTGCTACTTCATCAAACTAGTGCAGGCATAGGCAAACTTTGCCTCTCCAGGTGTTTTGGACTTCCACTCTCACAATTCCTAACAGCCTACCAGCTGTTAGGAATTGTGGAAGTTTAAAACACCTGGAGGGCTGACGTTTGTCCATGCCTGCACTAGAGAATGAATCCACTTTAAAACCGGTTTCTGCCTCCTGCAGAATTCTGGAACTTGTAGTTTAGAGAGGCTGTTAAAGGCTGCTCCCTAAACAACAAACTCCAGAATTCTATAGGAGGCAGCAACCAGATTTACAGTGGATTCCTTCTCTAGTGTGATGTGGCAATGCCAAGTTTTAAAACTTGGCTTGTGTTGTAAGGAGCCCCCAGTGGCGCAGCAGGTTAAACCGCTGAGCTGCTGAACTTGCTGACCAAAAGGTCACAGGTTCGAATCTGGGGAGCGGGCTGAGCTCCCACTGTTAACCCCAGCTTCTGCCAACCTAGCAGTTCGAAAACATGCAAATGTGAGTAGATCAATAGGTACCGCTCCACTGATGGGGTTCATATACAAGAAATTAGTTGGAATTCAATATAATTTGAAACAAGCATTGGCAGAAATATGGAAAGAGGATCTAAATAACAATGATTCAGACACTGAACACTGGATCAATTCAATCAAAAATATCAAGTATATAAGGATTAGAGAAACACAAAGGAAAATACTGACTAAATGGTAAAGAACTCCCCTCCTTGGAGGTGTCTACGGATAACACAGGCTCTTTGCCTTAGAAATGGAGGTGAACACCACTGGCCAGAGTTGGGCACACACTCCAGCCTGTCAATATCTCTCTTCAATTATGGTGCCCAGAATATTCCAGGTGTGGTCTAACCGAGGCAGAATAGAGGGGTAGCATGACTTCCCTGGATCTAGACACTATGCTCCTATAGATGCACGCCCAAATCCCATTGGCTTTTTTTTTTTTTTGCCGCTGCATCACATTGTTGGCTCATGTTTAACTTGTTGTCCACAAGGACTCCAAGATCTTTTTCACAGTCATGCCAGCCACATGACCTTGGAGCAGGCCCATAGCCAGGATTTTGATTCGGGAAGGGGGGGGGCTGAGTTTGATTCGGGGGGGGGCTGAGGATCTACCCTAGCAAACCTTTTGTATCGTTATCCCAATACCCCCATGCATATGGGATATATTGAGCATGGTGATCAGATCATGATATGAATAAACATAACAGTTTAAATAATGTACCAGTAAGGCCTTCTCGCGGACCACCCTGAGAATTTCGGGGGGGGGGGTGAAGCCCCTCAAGCCCCCCTTGGCTAGGAGCCTGATTGGACCTGTAGAGAATGGATTGGGCCATATCCAACCTGATCCAGCTCTTCATAACTCCAAAACACCAGAAAACCCCACTTTATCTTACTTAATGGCTTCATGCAGAACTTTTGTTGTGAATCTGACTTACATCATGTGGACTCCCCATAGCAGTTGAAAGGCAAGTCCACATTACTTGCCCTGTGGAGACATAGTCTCAATATTGAAGCCCCCCAAGCCCCCCCCCCCGCCTTGGAGGTGTCTATGGATAACACCGGCTCTTTGCCTTAGAAATGGAGATGCGCACCACCGGCCAGAGTTGGGCATGACTAAACTTAATATCAAGGGGTTGTGGAACGCGGCATTTGACAACTGATTTAATTCTTTGCCCACATGAAAGGAGGATGATGAATGGGATTGTGATGGTGTTGGACGATTTGGCTCTTTTAACTGTGATGATAATGTTTTAATGTGTATGGTGCTGATATTTTAATCGTGTAATGAAGTGGCATTGTGTTGTTATTGTATATTCTTTGTATGTTAACACATGTTGTGAACCGGTCCGAATCCCTCTTTGAAGGTGAGAGGGTCGGTATAGAAAACCTCGAAATAAATAATAAATAAATAAGGGGAAACCTTTACCTTACTAGGGCAACTTTTGAGACAGTCATCCTAACTGCTAGCTAGGGGAGGAGTGCTTTTGTGAGCTTTCATTGGTGCCAAAATAGCTGATCACAGGTTTGGAGTCCTCTGCAGGCATTTGGGTGCACAGCCTGAGTCAGTGGCAAGACTTGAGAGGGCTGCTTTTGCAACAACTCCACAGCTCCAAAAGCTAGGAATACCCTCCATCCTTTTGCCTTTCCTTGCAATTGGTCCCAGCAAGATCCAATGGATTAAGTGTAAGGGGGAATCATTCCAAAGAGAACAGAAAAGCACAGTTCTTCCTTTGGTCACAGACTGAGGTGGTGGGGTGTGTAGGGGGGGGGGGGAGATCTTCTCCCACAAAGCCCTCCCCTTCGTCCCTCCCACCGCATCCTTTCGCAAATCGCTGGAGAAGCCTCCAAGAGGCGCTTGTTCTTTTTTTTCCCCATCCCTCCTTCTTCTCCTCTCCACAGCGAGCTCTGGAGGCGCAGCAAGAAGAGAGCAGCGGCAAGGCAGACGGACCGGGCACATGCATAGAGAGAGAGAGAAGGAGTGAGAAAGAAAGGGAAAGGGAGGAGGGGACGTTGAGCCATCTCCCCCTCCTTTCCTCGGCGACCCACTCAAGCAGGGAGCCCCTTTTGCTTGGCTTCCCCTTCCACCCAGACTTTGAAAGTGATGCTGGGCGAGAAGGGAAGGAGGGAGAGCAGCAGAGGCAGCGAAGGAGCAGAAAGAGGAGGAAGAAGGGAAGGAGGAGGAAGGAGAGAAGGCAAGCTGCCGGCTTCAGCTTCATCCCGACTTTACGCAGAGAGCGCTGAGTGCTGAGCCCTTCTTGGCGCATCCTTTGTAGCCTTTCCTTCTTCTCCAAGGTAAGGAACAGCTTTGGGATTCTCTGTCCACTTGCTTGGTCTCTCCATCCTGCTCCCTTCCTCATCCCTTCTCTCATTCAAAGTTGGAGGGCACTACAAAGTGGCACCGCATGGACCACGGTGGCTTCCTTTCGGCTGGGGATGGAGGATGTGGGATGCTTTCCTTCCTTTGATTTTTGCGCATGGACAGGATGCCAGTTCATGTGCTTGCAAGAGAGGAACCTATCTTTGCTGTCCTTTCCAGGAAAGTAAAGAGAAAAGGAGGCCCCTTTTGCAGCTCTCCAGTTGCCCAGCCTTATTGGATAGTATACTGATAGCCGGTTAGAAACACCACCAATCAAAGTATATTTAAAATATTCTCCTTCCAAATTGATATCGATTTTGTCGGACAGGAGGAAAGCCAAGAGAAGGAGAAGGTTAGCCAGGCAAAGGTATGGACTTCATATGAGCTTTTTTGACTTTGGGTTGCAGTGAGTTTTCCAGGCTTTCATGGCCGGAATCACTGGGTTGCTGTGAGTTTTCCGGGCTGTATGGTTGTGTTCCAGAAGCATTCTCTCCTGACGTTTTGCCCACATCTATGGCAGGCATCCTCAGAGGTTGTGAGGACTGTTGGAAACTAGGCAAGGGTGCGTTTGTCCAGGGTGGGAGAAAGAACTCTTGTCTGCTTGAGGCAGGCCACCTTGATTAGCACTGAATGGCCTTGCAGCTTCCAAACTTGGTTGCTTCCTGTCTGGGGGAATCCTTTGTTGGGAGATGTTAGCTAGCCCTGATTGTTTCTTGGCTGGAGGTAAGGTAAAGGTTTCCCCTGACATTAAGTCCAGTGGGGGTTGGTGCTCATCTCCATTTCTAAGCCAAAGAGCCGGAGTTGTCCGTAGACACCTCCAAGGTCATGTGGCCAGCATGACTATATAGAGCGTCTGGAATTCCCCCATTTTTTTAGTGTTGTTCATTATTTACTGTCCTGATTTTAGAGTTTTTTAAAATAGCGGTAGCCAGATTTTATTCATTTTCATAGTTTCCTCCTTTCTGTCCACATGCTGGATTCCCCCAGGCAGGAAGTAGCCAGACTTTGAAGCTGCAAGGCTTTTCAATGCTAATCAAGGTGGCCAATTGCAACATTCACACTTGCCTCAAGCAGCCAAGACTTATTTCTCCCACCCTTGACATTCACAGATATATAAACCCCCCTAACCTCGCTTCCTTCTGGAGTCTTTCAGCCAGGAAGCAGCCAGGCTTTGAAGCTGCAAGGCTCTTCAGTGCTAATCAAGGTGGCCAATTGCAACATTCACACGTGCCTCAAGTAGACAATAGTTCTTTCTCACAGCTTGGACATTCCACAGATATAGAACTCCCCCCTCCCCAGCTTCCTTCTGGATTGTCTCGGGCAGGAAGCAACCAGGCTTTGAAGCTGGAAGGCTTTTCAATGCTTATCAAGGTGGCCAACTGCAACATTCACACATGCCTCAAGCAAACAAGAGTTCTTTCTCCCACCCTGGATATTCCACAGATATATAAACCCCACTTGCATAGCTTCCAATGCATGACAACCTCTGAGGACGCATGCCATATATGTGGGTGAAATGTCAGGAGAAAATGCTTCTGTAACATGGCCATACAGCCCAGGAGACTGACAGCAACCCAGTGATTCTAGCTATGAAATCCTTCGACAACAAGTAGGGTACTATATTTTTATCCCGCCTTCCTCCCAATATAGGGAGTCAAGGCAGCTGAGGTCATTATTATTTTTTGTCCTGGTTTCCTCTCAATATAAGGACTTTAGGGGGTTTTTCTTCCTTGCAGAAAAGTCAGAAGAACAAAAGGAGTTTGCAGGAGCTGCCAGAAAAAATGTGAAATGTTCACAGCGCAGGGTACAGTGGATAAATAGGATGCTGAAGGTACGCAGTTGCAGAAATGTTAGTCCTAGATTGAAATGGGGATGTGGGGAATGAAATTCAGCATGTCTTGAAAATCATTGCATGCCATCCTATTATATATATATATAGCAGAGCTGCACTCCACCTGATAAATAGTTGGAGAGGCAGGTATAGACAGATAGGGAGACACACAATTTTTAATTCAAAGGTTGGAGCCTGGAGATATGCAAAAGGCACAGAGGTCAGCAGTTGTGGAATGAGGTCTTGACAGTGCTGCAATAAAATCCATATTTTATGGAGAGTTAAATGCAGTGCCTTGCGAGTGCAACTGGATGCGGTTCGGTCGAAATCAACTCCTGATGACATTCAGGGATCAGGAAGTTTAATGGCAAAAATGACACTCAGCCCTGCGGCACATCTGGTCCCTTTCGCCAGAGAGAAGCTGGGAGTTGGCTGCCGACGCTGCCCACAATTTAAAGTTTTCTGACTGCAAGATCTGAATGAGAGAGGAGATCTTTAGCTTCAGTGCTTCCAAGAGGGGAAAGTAATTAATTGGCTTGATGAGCAAAAGCCTTCTTAGTTTGTTAGGAAGCAGGACGTGCTTAGTAGCGAAAGCATTGCATGGATATTTTGTTTGTTGTGTAATTAAGTTAATGAAAGATGCTCAGAAGGAACTTATGGAGCAGTTCTGGCTCAGTGCTTTGAAACTTGTCCTCAGTCTTTGTGTACAGATGTGTGCAAATTTATGCAAGATGAGGAAAGTATGGATGTGGGACTACATGAGGGGACACTCCTACAGTTAGAAGGATCCATGGTGTGCATGTGGGGACTTACCACAGCTCTCTCCTCTTAGCATGAGACTGCGTGGGATAAATGTGCACCGGGAAAGAATGTGTAGCTGGAATGTACACATCTAGATTCACCGGTTATCTATGCATATTCTTACTCCAGTCAAGACAAAGCCTTCTTTCATGGGATGCTTGGTTACTGCCAGAAAGTATTTGTGTGGAACTTTCATTTGTTCTTCAATTCAGATTGGCAACACTTCTCTATTGATGGTCAGTAGTGTCCCGGTTTTATTTTGGGGAGACAGGGAGGAGATGGAGGCAATAACTTTCCATGAGGCAAGGGGAGGGGTCTGCAGTTGAGTTTGCTCAGAGGAGATCAAACAGATGCCTTCACCCCTGAGACATGAATTCAGATTTCTAGCAGACTGGCACAGTGAGAGGAGGACTCAATTAAGCAGGCTCTTTTAAAACAGATCAAATGGGCTAACAAATAACTGCAGGATGGAATTGCTTCGCTACAGTGTCATTCAGTTGACTGTAGCACAGTGCTTCTCAACCTTCCTAATGCCACGACTCCTTGATACGCCTTAGTTCCTCATGTGGTGGTGACCCCCAACCATAAAATTATTTTTGTTGCTACTTCATAACTGTAATTTTGCTACTGTTATGAATCGTAATGTAAATATCCAATATGCAGGATGTATTTTCATTCACTGGACCAAATTTGGCACAAATACCCGATACACCCAAATTTGAATACTAGTAGGGTTGGGGGAGGGGGTTGATTTTGTCATTTGGGAGTTGTAGTTGCTGGGATTCATAGTACACCTACAATCAAAGAGCATTCTGGACTCAACCAATGATAGAATTGAACAAAACTTGACACACAGAATTCCCACAACCAACAGTAAATACTGGAAGGGTTTGGTGGGCATTGACCATCAGTTTTGGAGTTGTAGTTCACTTACAGCCAAAGAGCACTGTGGGCTCAAATAATGATGGGTCTGTGCCAAACTTGGAATGAATACTCAATATGCCCAAATGTGAACACTGGTGGAGTTTGGGGAAAATAGAGATGGCATTTGGGAGTTGTAGTTTCTGGGATTTATATAATCACCTACATTCTGAACCCCACCAATGATAGAATTGGGCCAAACTTCCCACACAGAACCTCAGTGACCAGCAGAAAATACTGTGTTTTCTGATTGTCTTTGGTGACCCTTCTGACACCCCCTTGTGACACCCCCCCCCCCCCCCCCCCCCCCGGAGTCTTGACTTCCAGGTTGAGAAACCCTACTGTAGCACATGCAGGCTTTGCTTGCTTTCAGTTCCACTGAGAGCACTTGGTCCCAAATATCATATTTGTGTTTTAAAGTAACTGGTTTCCCCGAAATAACCATCAGAGGCAGTTGGAGGGCTGTATGTCTTAAAAGTGAGTGGAAATTATTCAGTCTGATGGTGGCTCCCTGCAGTTATCCTCTGCAGCCATTTGAAGCTCTTGAAAGCTGGTGTCCCCTCTAGGGACTAGCTCGTTCCTTCTTATAGTAGTGGGGTTTTTTTTCACACCAATTTTCAGCTTTCACATATCTCAAGGCTAGTCATCGCCATATATTATCCTCTCATTCACACACTGTTCTCCATTAGAAATATACATGTCTCCACACCTATCGTCTGGCCCCTTTATTGGGTCCCCCATGCAAGTTAATTTCCCATTTTTGTCAGTTGAAAATGCTGGTTAACATTTTACAATCTTTGCCTCCAACACTACGTATAGTGTGAGACTGATATTAGAGGAGGGAAATCCATTTATTTTTCTCTCTGTTGAACATTAGTCATGTACTTTTTGAAACTTAATGAAAGTTTTAATAGGCAAGCCTGCTTCTCTAGACTCATGGTTATTTTATTATTATTTATTGTATTTATACACCACCTTTCTCACCCCTGGAAAGGGGGGGGGGGGCTCAAGGTGGTTTACAACATACTAATGGCAAAAATCCAATGCCAACATACAGTACACAAAGAAATCATAATAACTAATTACTACATATAACTACGAACTTAAAATCAATTAAAACAATTAAACYTAAGWTATACACAAAATTSAAACATTCAGARAAGCATYAAATCATCACAGTATAAACATTTAAATCCCATGATCCAGAAWTRGTATACCATAGCCATTCCYAGTTGTCARTGCACATATTCCTCAATTATTCTTTGATCRCTGAATGAGGTTTACATTCAACTCCCAMTTAGTGAATGAAATTAATAGGTAACAGAATGGTGTTGCCTTCTCCACAGATGTTAAWTTTTTTCTCATGCATTTTTTTTATTTTGC